AGATAAAAAAAAAAAGGAAATATACAATCAGTTTGGGACAAAAGAGAAACTAAGTAAAAGTTATTCTTGCAGATAAGATTTACCATGGCTCTGTTGGATGGAGATCTACAGATTTTACCCGTTCTGATCTTTGAGCAAGTTTCCTCTGATCCAAACATAATTATAAGCACATTACTTCCCCAATAAAAAATACCAATTAAAAATAAAAGAAATAAGATCTAATGAAAGAAACGAGAAATAATACCTTAATGTTGAGTCTGAGAGGCTGTTAACACAAAAAAAAATAATTTCAAGAAAATTTCAGTCAGTAGCACATCAAACACCAGATCCCTTATTAACTAAACTCCCGAAGGATAAAATTGCATTTATCAGCCAAAATGAATCTTACTAACACTAATCAATCCCAAAATCAGTTAATGAATTACTATCCTCCATCTTTCTCCATTTTCTCCGCAACCAAACACCACATTAACTATATTTTTTCGACTAAACAAAATTCTGACGTCCGAACGTAAATGTACAAATGATCGTGAGATTAAGTATCCTGAATGAAACATCAGATCTCTACTAAACTCAAGTCCCTTGCAAATCATTTGCTTGTTCGCGAACCAAATCAAGTAAAATGAAAACGTTTATAATGACATGATCCTCAGGAACCAAACAGGCTGCAACTAATTTCCAACCAAGTCTCTGATTTCGATTTCAATAAATCAATAACAAAATTCATATAATGCGTTCAACTACGCGGTAAGAAAGCTACTCTCTGGTTCAATTATGCGAGAAATAAGATATTAACACCAAATCGAAGAGAATTTGAGGCAGATCTAAAGTAAAATTAGATAGATCATATAACTCACCATCTTTGAAGATTAAATCTTAAAGAGTAGACACTTAATTCAAATCGCGGCTTGTTCAAGCGCTGAGATCCAGAGAGAGAGAGGGGTTTTTGGTGGTGGAATAGAGAGAGCTCTGTAAATACGATATGGGAGGGGGATGCTTCGTATTGTAAGTTAAGCTTTAAGACTAAGGAGGAGATTTACGAACATGCCACTGGTTGAGTAATGATCCAGTGTGTGACGTCCCATGTGAGTGACTTAAGTTCGTTGATGCACCGTATGATTTGTACAAAATCAACGGCTGAGATTCAATTACTAGCATCCGACGCTGTGAGCTATTTGGCGTGTTGAAGAGAATTTGATTGACTCTGACTTGCCACGTTGGCACATTGATGCCACGTCAGCTCAAATATATGCTATGCTGTCTTTAATTTTTTGTTCTTTTAAATTTTTTGGACGCATGGTATTCTTGATTATTGATGTCTTTTTGCTAATTTTAATTTAAGATTAGGATTATAATTTTATTATTTTTTTAATTAGTTACATAATATTAATTTTAATAATAAATTTAATTTTAAATTCTTAATTAATATAACTTTATGAAATAATTAATAAAAAAACTTTCAATTAATTAATTTTAAATGACTACAAAAAGATAACATAAATAAATATATTAAAAAATCAAATTATTCTATGAATCTAAATAAATCTATTAATTGCATAAATTGAGTCTCATTTTAACAATATGCCTAGTATCTTGTAGCCAAAAAAAAAATTATAATATAAATTTTATTTGTATAACTTGTTACTAAAAAGTATGTTCTAAAAATATAATTTCTCATCTAACAATAAATCAATAAATTATAAAAAAATTATGAATCAAATGTATATATTTTTACTTCGTAATATTTTTTAAATACAATGTCTTTATCATAACTTTAATGATTTTTATATAATTAAAATTAACGAACGATGAAAATAAAATTTATTAACTCAAAACACTAAATTTTAATATCAGTTAGGTAGAAAATGGAAAGAGAAAAAAAGTAAATGAATAACAAGAAGAAATGAAGTTTTTGAATGATTTATAGATATATGTGATGTTGCGTGTTTGGAGTTAACTAAAAATAAAATTTTATTTTTTATTTAGAAAATTCAAATAGATAAACATAAATATGTATGTAATGCATTAATAATCAACTAAAAATGAATTTTTACTTTTATTGAAAAAATTAAAATAAGTAATTATTATATAATATTATTACATTAATTTTATTTTCTAATTAATAACTATTTTAAAATTTTAAAAAAATAGCTTTACTTTATATATATATATATATAATATTTTCTTTTCATATTAAATGAATTTAGAAACTGTGAATGAGAGATTCTTGGGTAGTGATCATAAATATTAATTGTTTATGAAATAAGATGGTGTTATGTGTATATAAATTAATTTCTCTTTCCAATTTGATTAACCAATATCTAAAAATTCAAAAAAAAAATAGTAATGCTTATGTATTTATGTTTAAATATAAATTATTAGAATAATAATTTTTACTATCACGTGTTGGATTAATAAAAATTTTGAAAACATAAAGCTTTTTCAAAGAACAAGGAAGCCAAAAGTTTGGTTAAAATCAACAAAAAGAGATATACGAACAATGAAGAAGAACAAAATTTGAGAGATATTGAACTATTAGAAGAAAAGAAAAATTAAGTGGAGGTAAGTCGATCGATAAGATAGAATTGAACTTTAGTCATTCAGTTCAAAAGCATAAAATTAGATAAGTCGCAAAGGATTACTCATAATTTATTATAGATTGATTACAATGGAATCTTTACCTTAATTGCTTTACTAGATACAATTGAGTTTTAATCGTCCTATAACCCAAAAGAAATACAAAGTTTATCAATATAGTGTTCAAGTTAGCATTCTTGAATAGATTTTTGTAAGAAAGTATTAATATTATATGGAGCAAACAAATGATTTTGTGAAACCCAATAAGCATCTCAAAGATAATATAATCAAATTAACAAGTATGTTAGAGATCAAAGATTTAAGAAGAAAAAAAATTAGCTTGCACCATATATCAAGACCCAAGGTGTTATTTCAAATACATATATATATATATATATCAAGATCCAAGGTGAGATCAAGACTCAAATTGTAACGATCTCAAAATTTCAAATGAAATAAATCATAAATTAAGTACGGAAGAGAAATAATTAGTTAGGGTTTACATTCCTTATACAATAACTAAAAGTACCAAATAGTGTTATAAGAATAACTCTTTTGAAGGAAATACAAAAAATTAAAAAAATAAACAAAAAATAAATAAAACTGGTATCTTACTCGCAATCCTCTTATGGATCGGGTTTTAGATCCTGATCCTCTTGATATATATGTATATATATCAAGATCCAATGTGAGATCAAAACTCAAATGTTTTCAATTTTCTAGTTGATTAATGCTTAATGTTCTAGTTTAACATAAAAATAATAAATGATAATTTTAAACTAGTTAAATAACATTATATTTTAGAATTTACTATGCATCCACATTTACACTATTAATAAGTTACTTAAGCAAATATCTCATCGTTAAGATTTTATATTATTTATTTAAAGATAATAATTATATTATTTGACAATATAATATTCATATGATACTACTTAACGAACTAACTATATACATTTTAGGTATATGATAATGTCTAATACTAATTAAAAGTTTGAAAATTTTGATACTGTTTCTTTCATATCTTTTTGATATATTAGATACATGGTATTTATAGTCATATATCCAGACTTGCACTTAAAGAATAGGAGATTAAAAAATCAGAAATTATACAGAAATCTAATCACAATAAATTAGGAGATAAATATGATAATTTAATCTCCACTAATTATGAGATAATTCTGATAATTTAATCTCAACTAATTAAGAGATAATTATGACAATTTCCTACACTCCCCTTCAAGTTGGTGCATAAATGTCTTGCATGCCTAACTTGTTTAAAACTTGATGGAAGATTTTACTTGATACAACCTTGGTGAGAATATCGG